ACTAGAGTCGGTGCAGCGAAGACTGACGAAAATGATTCCGGGACTTAGAAACCTTCCATATCAAGATAGGTTAAAGAAACTTAACTTGCATTCCCTAGAAAGACGACGAGTGCGGGGAGATATGATAGAGGTATTTAAGTGGGTGAAAGGAATCAATAAAGGCGAGCATGATAGGACTCGGAGCAACGGATTTAAGTTGGATAAGTTTAGGTTTAGGAGGGAGATAGGAAGGAACTGGTTCACAAATATGGTGGTGGACGAGTGGAACAAGCTTAGCAACTTTGTAGTAAGTGCTGGAACGCTGGAAAGTGTTAAAAGGAGGCTAGATAGATTCATGGATGATAGAGAGTGGTAGTAACTCTCGACAGGAGCTGCCATGCACAGGCCAACCAGCCTATTGCAGACTCCTTATTTTATTATGTTTTTATGTTGTTATATATTTCCCCTAAAGTTACTGTATTTCCCTTAAAGTTTCCCCCAAAAAATTAAATTAACAAAAAATTTAGACGAAATACCTTTAATATAATTTTCCCCCATTTTTCTTGGTATAAAATCTTTGAAATTATTGAAAGTTTGTGAAAGTTTGTTCAACATACTTAAAGAAAAAATAACACTGGAAAATAATCTACTCATGTTTTCGTCGGCTTTTCTTTTGTAAATTTTGTAAAAGTTTTCTCCATATATTTAAAAAAAAAATACAGACCAAAAAAAAAAAAACTATTATTTAACCGGAGTTTGAAATTTTGTAAACGTTTAGTCGTTGTGTTGAAGAAATTCATTGATGAAAAAAAAACACTTTTCTGAACTGAATTTACCTGAAGACTTAAGAGTACGACGCGAGCTTACCTGTCCTTACCTGCCTGTCTACCTGTGTGTCTCTGTATATAAATCGTCCGTCTTAAAACTGTTTCTTTGTCTTAAATTTTCCCTTAAAAACTATGTTCCCGAGAGCCAAGTGTTCTTCCTGGAAAGACTTATTGTGCACGCTTCTGTTTGTCTCTCTCTCTCTCTCTCTCTTTGTCTCTATTCTTCTCTGTCTTTGCCTCCCTCATTCCTTCTCTGCCTGTCTCTCTCCCTCCTATAGGACAATTCCGTCATTTATCTCTTGTCTCTCAGATCAGAAATCCTAAACCAATTTCACTGGGAATTTTGATACATAATTCACATAAAACCTGAAATTCTAAGGTATTTACCACTATATAAAAAACTAACTCTGTCTAATTCCAGCATTTCCCAAAATTCCTTGTACCCTAGAAATACAAAAACGATTTCGCTTTGAATGAGAACTTTGTCTATTTGTCTGTTCCCTTGTGTGTGTGTGTGTGTGTGTGTGTGTGTGTGTGTGTGTGTGTGTGTGTGTGTGTGTGTGTGTGTGTGTCAGAATATTGCCGCCGCTGTCTACGAGTTCTTTCACAGACACTCTACAGCATATTGGAGCCATTGTTTTCACCTTCCCTCTCCCTCCTCAGTCTTGACCGATAGTCAAGACGTACCTGGAGCTGTTCTGGCAGCAGCCAGGTTGTCATATTATGGAATAAATTATGTTTGTGTTTACCTTTACTCTAAATGTTCTCTTGTTCTAATTGGGTTTTGTTTTGTTCTGTTGCAGATGTATATGGATTTATGAGTTGAATAAAGCCTTGATTACTGAAGGTGTCTGATATCATACGACACAGGTCAACTGTTATGTTGGCCCATACCAACTCCCTCCCCTGAACCCCTCCTCCCCACCGGAATATCAACAAGTTCTCGCCAGAAGATACTATTTCATTTAGGAAAGGAATGGAACCAGTGTTGAATAGTGGTGAACAGTGGTGAACAGTGCTTAAGTCAGTGAAAAACAACTCGGCAGCAACAGCTGAGTCATACCCAAGCTAACCTTCACACAGTGAGGTACCAGGTACCCAGTGATAACTGCCCTTGAGACTCAATAACACCAGCTATGTGTTAATCCGTCCACGATAGGGAGGCCTGGGACCACACCTCACTCACACACTCACACACACACACACACACTCACACACACACACTCACACACACACACACACACACTCACACACACACACACACACACACACACGTTTAATCAAAAGTTTAGCTACGATAAATCCTTCTTTCTCAACTTGTAAAGTCTGAAATAAGTTTAATAAACCAGAAGAGCAATTTTGATCAATATTAAATTTTGTTTATTTTGAGGAGTTTAACTTTTTTAAATGACTTCTCAGAAATTCATCTCATATTGAATTTTTTTTTACGACCTAAAGTTTGTAAAAAAAAAGATGAATGTTTAATCAACTTTGTTTTCAATTTGTGACACCATCTTGTTATTTTTGTAATTTCTGCCACCATAATTAATATTTTCAGTAATTAATTTCTGTGATAATTGTGTACACACTGATGACCCCATAAACAAGCTTACCATCCACCTCCTGGGATTAACTAGATAATTTACACGTTAGTTATGATATAATTAGTCAAAATTTATATTACCTGAGGATTTTCGGATAATACCTTAACTGATCCCGGATAATCGTACACAAAGAAAAAAATTCAGTGGTAAACAACAAAATTATTCCAAACTTACAAATAAAATTCTCTTATTCATCCTCAGTTCATGTGTTTGTTACTGTTGTTGCTTCTTGTTTTCCTTGCATAAACAGTTCACGAGGTCTGCTTCCACAACACAAGCACTAAAAGTTAAGCTTCGTTGTTGTTAAGTGATTCTAAATAAATTATATGTCAAGGCTGTTAAGTTTGTACACCAGGTCTGTTAGTTCTTAAAAAAATATAGTTTTTATTACTATTATTATTATTATTATTATTATTATTAGTTAAGAACAAGTTTTTGTGCTGATACAGTTGTGTTTCAGATACTTCAATTACTACAGCTATTAATTTCTGTTCACTGTGTCTTAATTACAGCCACATCATTATAATATCAGAATAAACTTAATCCCTTGTGTACGGACCAAATTTAACTAAAATTAAGCAAAATATTAAACAATGCCTCCCTGTAGTGAAGGTGAAACACAAAACAAGTTTACTCCCAGAGGTTTCAACTACACGGACCACTAATGTTTGTTAACTAGGATCCAATCTCTACACCAGACAGTTAACAACATTTTCATAATAAAGTTGAATGATAATGATGTAAAAAAATGTTAAAAAACTCAATTAATGGTGTTTTTAAGTTCAGTATTTATAGAGAGACGAAGAAATAAAGTATAGTTGGTTAATTTAACTAACACTTATATTTACAACACAAGAGGAACGTATCATATCTCTTACCAATCCTATGTAAATGTAAATAAAGCCACCAGTTACATTTACAACATAAGTGTAAATAAAACATCATCACTACACAGAGTAAGACAAAATACAAACTATGTTTCTGTCAAATAATTCTCTCTCTCTCCTCACCTCCCAATCCTTCTGGTGTAGAGCATTGATAACTTATAGTCCTAGAGAGAGAGAGAGAGAGAGAGAGAGAGAGAGAGGCACTTTCACTCACATCAAACAAAACACATGCAGTCATAACAAGAGTATACATAGCGACAACACACACACACACACACACATACACACACACACACACACACACACGGTTCCTCATATCCTAAACTTACAAACAAAATATACACAATGAATCCTTAATACCCTCAGCTGCTGTGATGTATTAACGTGAGGTAATTCCGGGTTATGTCAGATAAATTTCCCCCCAGCAAATGTTTATCTCCGTTTGTTTATGTAGTCGAGGATATACACACCACCACAATTTACGATGAGTAATATTATTCAAGGTAATATTAGTCCATAAGATTGATCTATAGCGAAACCTCCATTTAACGAACTATATGAAGGGGAAAGTCAGTTATAACGAGGGACCGTTATTTGTGTAATCTTCATCTAGCGAATTACATAGAGATGAAAGTGCGTTATATCAAGGTTCCGTTAGATATGAATAATAATAATATCAAGAACAATAACAACAACAATAATAATAATAATAATAATAATAATAATAATAATAATAATAATAATAATAATAATAATAATAATAATAATAATAATAATAAAAGGCAAAATCACGACAGTAGCAGCAACAGCATAACTCAACACGTAGATAAAGACAAGAAATTTTCGCTAGAGAGAGAGAGAGAGAGAGAGAGAGAGAGAGAGAGGGGGGGTATTAAGCACACCAAGTCCCACCCCCCCCTCCCCCTTCAAAAATACACAGGGGATTAAAAATGATGAATCACTCTTCCTTACAAGCACAGCCTCAGCTAACGCGACTCATTAACGCATTTTATTGACGCTCTGACCCCTAACAGCAGCTGGTAACGTGAAGTGGTGACAGTATGAGACTCGGGAAGAGATGGTTAACAAGTGATAGTATGAGACTCGGGAAGAGATGGTTAACAAATACGACAAAGTCAGATGAAATACTAACATGTTATACGTCTGTAGAGGCGAGAGTATAACAGCTAATGGGGAGAGAGAGAGAGAGAGAGACGGTGATGAAAAACAACAGAAAAGAAGAGGAGACGAGAACAAAAAGCTTGAATTTACGTTGAGAGTGTCAAGGGGAGAGGAGGAGGAGGAGGTTGGCAGGAGAGGAGGTGGTAGAAGGAGGAGGTTGGCAGGGGGAAGATGTTGGCAGGGGACATGATGGCAGGGAAGGTTAGCGGCAGGGTTACATAACCTCTTAAATCAACCGAAGTAAATTTTTACCATACACGACTAAATGTTCAATAAGTTTTAATAATAAAAAAAAAATCTCCTAAATATTGAGTATAATTTTACTTAACATTAAACTCAATATAGACAAATACACGACAGTTCCCTCATATACTCTCCGGTAAGTAAAGATCTCACACAACTTTTATTAATAAGTTTCATTACAGAACACAAAGAATTACCCCCGGTCAATATTACAATTACGTCAAGTGTGCCGCACCAACCGTTCATTAGCATGCAAAGATCGACGACTACACGTTTACCTGCCAATTATAGCGTGGCTTCAGGTGCTGATGGCGGTGTGGTGGAGCGTTGGTGGTGGTGGTGGAGCGGTGGTGGAGCGTTGGTGGAGCGGTGGTAATGATGATGGAGTGGTGGTGGTGGTGGTGGTGGTACGTGTGTGTGCGAGTGTCACTTGGCTTGCCTCGGCGGGTCAGCCAACCTTGACGAGAGCTTCAAGGTCACCGTACTCACGTTGGGTCACCTCAGGTAACTAGACTCCTACCAGGTGGTGAGTGTTGTTCTAAGTTACACAAGTGATTAAGGTCGGGTTAAGCAGCTGTTCTTTTATGCTCTATTGTGATCATTGACCTATCATTCACATTGCATTAACTACGGCCATAACTATTATACAAAACACTCACGGGGTCACACAGTAAGTTTTATGTCTCTCTCTCTCTCTCTCTCTCTCTCTCTCTCTCTCTCTCTCTCTCTCTCTCTGGGTATGAGGTGTTGTGTAGAGGTCAAAGGTTATGTCAGGTGTGTCTGTATCTTTCTCAATGTTGTATTTATTCACGAGACTCTAGTAAGGTGACGAGTATTGTAACAACTCTCACTCACTGATGTTCCTTGTAGCTGAAGTAAGATCCGTAGTTCATATTTTATTTTACGTGAATGATAATGTGTGAAGTCACTTGAAGTACAGTGTGTAGAGTCACTTGAAGTACAGTGTGTGAAATCACTTGAAGTACAATTAGTATTGAAGTCACTTGAAGTACAGTGTGTGAGACACTTGAAGTACAGTGTGTGAAGTCACTTGAGTACAGTGTGAGGAGTCACTTGACGTACATTGTGTAGAGTCACTTGACATTACAGTGTGTGAAGTCACTTGACATTACAGTGTGTGAAGTCACTTGACAGTGTGTAGAGTCATGAAGTACAGTGTGTGAAGTCACTTGACGTACAGTGTGTAGAGTCACAGTGTGTAAGAAGTACAGTGTGTGAAGTCACTTGAAGTACAGTGTGTGAAGTCACTTGAAGTACAGTGTGTGAAGTCACTTAACGTACAGTGTGTGAAGTCACTCAACGTGTATCATTCACTGGTGCTTGACGCTGGTGTACAGTGAGCTAGTATGCTACACTTTACACACACCATTTCCCTCCATCAACACTCACCATCATCATCATACTCAATATTCAAATTAGGTTAATGTTGTCTCCTAATACTGAGATTTAGTGCGTAAGATAATATAAATTAACAATGTGTCTATGTAGATTTTATACTTGATTATCCTAACCCTCGGGAAATTTGTCTCTGTAGCTGGACACTGAGAGAGAATACAAAACTATCCTTGTCTGCTGTATTATCACAAAGGTGTTTCCCAGTCACGTTAGTTACTGTAAGAGTGTCGTGCTGTAATGTATCGTGTTCATTAGGTACTGTGTCTGCCCTGTCCCCTCAACTACTCAAATCTATACATCACTTTCTATGTAATCACAAACATTCTTTAGTTTTTGAGATCTTATATTTCATGATTTTGAAATAAAAATGTTCTTCAATAAATGTAAAATGTTCTTCAATAAAGTTTAGTGTTCAGTGGTCGGCCTCGCTCACTTAAGTTTCAACTGCGCGAAGGAACACGTGAATCTTGGTTGTCGCTCTGAGTACATCAATGTTTTTCTTTCTCTCGTTATCTATGGTATTATTCCTAGGTCTGTGGAATACTGAATGTTACATAACAGTCTGATATTCCAGAAGAATTTTTCCAAAAAGTTTTCGCCACGAGAACAACACGTAGCAAACTTGTTGCTAAATTAGTGAGGAACTCAAATGTCCTCGACTCACAGAAGTCCAATCAAGGGAGAGTTTTCAGATATGGGGGAGATTTTAATGCCTTGTGGTGTTGGGGGCAATAGCTGCTTGAGAGACGTAGACATGGGCAAGACAAGAAGGGCGGTATTACGATGGTGGGGGCAAGAGGAGCTGGGTAAGAGCGAGCCCTGGCGAGGCGAGTGTCTGGGGTGGCTGGCTGGTGGTGGCAGCGTGAGGGTGTCTGTCTGGGTGCTGGCGGACCGTTACTGTGCCACCGACCAACGCTGTGCTGGCTCACACACTGCCTCCCCGCACCCACACGACCCACACCCACACCCGCACACCACCCCTGCGCCTGCCCACACCCACACAAACCACCCACCCACACCGGTGTACTGTCCCTGCGCCTGCCCTCTCAACCACATGACACGCTTATGCCCACACACTACCCCTGACCCGGCCCATACCCACACAAACCCCGCGGTCCAAACCCACACACACACACACACGACCCAGATGGTTCACACCTACATACTTCTCTTAGGCCTGCTAACACACACACACACATACCACGACCCACAGCCACACACTAACCAAACGCCACAGTTTTAGTATGAAAATTATCGTCTAGTTCTGGGTACCAGATCCCGAAATTAGTCTCGGTCCACTGTATCACCCTGAGTTAGTGACATCTTGGCTGTCGTAGTTGGTAAAATCATGCCAGTGAACATGACTCTCAGAGGATTTTGCGATAAATATTTCTCGTAACCAAAGATAAACAAAACACCTGGATGACAAACTTACGCTAAAACACAAAATTAAAACGACTAAAAATAGACTCCAGGTGAAACTGAGACTCCAAGCTAAACTAAATACAATATTAACATACAGAATCCTTTCAGAGAGTCTATATGTTAATTTTATCTCCTATCCAACGTTAAGTGAGGCGTGTGGTGGATGACTGGGTACAACCATCGTCTCTGGTTCTATCCCCGAGGCACCACTACCAGTCCACCACAGCGGTAAAGGGGAACATTACTTTACAGTTTGGGAAGTAAAGGAGGTAGAATGCAGTGCCGTTGTGAAGATTAAGCTATCCTTAACAACTTTCTAATGACCTCAGCTATCCTTAACAACTTTCTAATGACCTCAGCTATCCTTAACAACTTTCTAATGACCTCAGCTATCCTTAACAACTTTCTAATGACCTCAGCTATCCTTAACAACTTTCTAACCATCTGCTACAACAATCTTTTTCAACCACCAACAGCTAAAGTCCTACACTCACTAACGAGAGAATTAATACATAAACAGACCCCCCCCCCAAGGAATTAAAAGACAGTTTACACACACACACACACACACACACACACACACACACACACACATCAAGATACACCCTGCTCCCTCGCCTCTACTGACACCCGTTGTAAATTTCTATCCTAAATTTCGAAAGGATTATGCAATTATAACACCGACGGCTAACACTAAAGAACGCCCACTCTATGATGAAATATCGACTCGGTGTTTGGGTGAAAAAAATCTATACCTCAGGGGATATTTATGGTGATATAGACGAGTGTGTGTTGGTTATTGGTTAAGAGGTATTGTGTTCCTACCTTGTAAAATAGTTCTTTTGTACGTACCAATAACTGAATATGGAATGTGGATCAGTTGAAGATTAGACACCCTAACTTACTTTATCTGATGGTTAAATATGTTAATGCTACTTGGGGTTAGGTTAGGTTAGGTTAGGTTAGGTTAAGCTGGCTAAAATAGTTTAATGTAAGGGAGATTAATCTTAAAGTGAATTAGGCCGTGGAGGCTGACCTTCAGGTGATCATTTTATACACTGACTCAACAAGGAGTAACACAGACACACATGTGCTCATTTTAGTTACGCTGTAAGGTCAAAGGTGACATATAATGAGACACTATATTCATAAGCAGGTGTTGGCGTGTTATGAATCATACCTGTACCTGTAATACAGTAATGTTATTATTGGTTCACTATCAACAGGTGTATTACAAGGTAGGATGGTAAAACAAACTCTCTCTCTCTCTCTCTCTCTCTCTCTCTCTCTCTCTCTCTCTCTCTCTCTCTCTCTCTCTCTCTCTCTCTCTCTCTCTCACTCTCTCTCTCTCTCTCTCTCTTCACTTGCTGTCAGCCAGGAATGCCTCACAGTAATCCAGCCTAATATCTGGAGTCGGTAAGAATGGTTATTTCGAGGCGGGAGTCCATTAAAAATCCCCAGTGAGAGGAAGTGTACCATCTTGACGCCAGCAGGTAAATAACCTATAAAGCTCGCGGCTACAACACCAGACACGATCTTACCAGAGAGAGTTTTTCCTTTTAAGTGTTTGATGGAAAAAAGATCTAAATGTATCACTCTCACAAATTCAGTGAAAATAATGGAACTCAAGAGCAAGAGGCGGTATATTACCACTCAACAGCTGTCAGTAGGTCGTTTATCATAGCTTGAACAACGCGGCAGGAGACCATTTGATACAGTTTGGTTTTCCATTAGCGTAAATTTATGTAAAAAACAACAAAAACAACAACAGGTTAATGCATCATAACATTATAACAATTGTAACTTAATATTGTGTTGTGTCCAAGATATGTTCAGGTCTTGTGTTTGGTGACTCTTAGTATATGTTGACGGCTTATAAACACATTAATACATGGAGATGAGTTTTCTACCCAGGGTTTTATTCTAGTTTATCGGTCAAGTGATGTTTAGGTTTGTAAACATTCTGATAGCTGACGTTTGCCAATAAACTGACATTTTATATGCAAATTAATTCAGGTAGCGTCGTACAATACCGCTCTTCGATCCTGGACGTAAAGAATATCAAACGAGAAGGTTTACAAAACAGGTGATAACAGCCAACACTGCTTTCATCAGTCAGACAGAGGCAGTACACACACTCGACAAGACTCGTTATTACTTTTTTTACTGTCAATTTTTCCCGTTCATAAATGGTACACCTAACGATAAATTCCTGAGCCTTGATTGTTGTGTGATTGAAATACGTAATGAAAAAAAAATCACTGGACACTTTTGGTAATATGTACTTAAAGGTCAAGCACTCGCTCCCCCAAAAAATATCTTTAAGACTTTGTGCCAGACAATATGACACAACGAACGAAGGATTTTGACAACCACTACCGAGACAACAGGAGTCACAGTGTTCATTTTGAAATTTATGGGAACGTTCCTTGAAGTTACTTGATGGAACGAGTTACATCAGAGAAATTGGATTCTTACCAGCTATTTACCCAGATATTTTACCTTACATTATAGATTATTTTGTTTTCATGTTGTTAATTCTGACGTAATCACAAGACACTCAAAAACGTAACCAAAATAGACGACAGATAGTGTCAAGCATCGAGGAAATTATGTTACTATTGTTATTATTATACATCTCTACAACTAAAGTCTTTCAGTACATCAAGTGAGTTAGTCTATGTGTACAGTCCGTCAGAAAAAAAAAAACAATTGACCTGTGGTAAATAAGTGCGTCAAAAGAGCAAAAAATGGACTTATGCAATGTGGAAAAATCTTGTGTCCAAATATATAGCGCTTTTACTTCTGACACCAAACACCGGAACCAGGAAGTTGTCGCCACACACACACACACACACACACACCTCAGCAGCCATGGTGTGCGACAGTGGCAGGAAGGGATACTAATATATTGACTGTGATCTAACCTGACAGCGCTCATGTCTCCCACTTTATAAGGTCTGGTGTCAGCGGTATTCCAAAAAAATTTAAGTTACGCGTCATATCGTGTCGGACTAAATCACTAGATCGTATTGTTGGTCGTAACCTCAAGTGGACTTATGAGAAGCCACCAGAGATGTATTTTTGGACTCAACCGCGTATAAATCAGTACAATGAGACCTCCATATAACGGAC